AGAGAGGTAATAGGCATTTTTCAGAGTGGTAATAGGAATTTTTTCAGATATATTTAGCATATTTCATGGTTTCTTATTGGCATGGCAGGTCTTGATTGCCTGTGCCTGAAAATTTTTTGCTAAGAGCTCAAGAACTATAAGGGAGGATGTGAAATGATATTTTGTGGTACAAGGATTATTTTGTCTATTTAGTGTATACATAGCTGTAGCTTTATAAAAAAAAGGGATCTTTGTAAAAAATACTGTATGAATGTGCACTTATTTATTGATTATTGTAAATGAAGATATAAATGGTTATTTGCATAATTTATACCTGTGGGAAATTCCCTAGATTATTTGTTATTTGACTGTTTTCTATCAAGGAACATTGGGCCTGGTGCTATGAGGAATGATCTTGTAAAATCACATGTATTCCGAATAACAATTTGCAATATAAATTTCTTGAACTGATTGTTTTTTGATAACTTATTTTGTGCATATGTGCGTCTGTGTGTGTGCACTGTGTGTGTGTGCATGTGTGTGTGCCTCTGTGTTAACCAACCAGAAATGGCACTAGCCTTCTTTGTCCTGACAGATAGTACTTTTACTATCTGGCTTCAGAGCTGTAGACAGTGAAGGGAATACCCTCTTCCTTGCCTGTGTCTTGAATCTCTGCATGCAAAGTTCTAAGAAGCATCCCTCAGTATCTGCAGGGGGGCGGGTTCCAAGACTCCCCTCAGTGACCACAGCTCTGAGTGCTCAGGTTCCTGTACAATGATGTGTTATTGGCATGTAGCACACATCTCTCTTATACTTTAAATCGCCTCAAGATTACTTATAATACCTACTGTGCCATAAACACTATGTAAACAGTTGTATTGCTTAGGGAATAATGGCAGTAAGATAGTCTGGAAATGTGCAGTATAGATTCAAGTGTGTGTGATACTGGTGAGCTCTGTGGCTCAGGAGTTAGACTGCCTGGGCTTGTATCCCCAGTCTATCTTTTTTTTTTTTTTTATTTGTCTTTTTGAGACAGAGTCTCCCTGTACCCCAGCTGTCCTGGAACTCACTATGTAGACCAGGCTGGCTTTGAACTCACAAAGATCTGCCTGCCTCTGCCTCCAAGTGCTGGGATTAAAGTCGTGTGCCACAACTCCCAGCCCCAGTCTATCTTTTACTAGCCTTGTGGTCCACAGTCTCAGTCTCAGCTATGAGAGCTTAGTTTTCCAGAGCTCAGAACCCAAATCCAAGCCTGTGTGACAAGTCATCATATGTAGGCAGAGGGCAGCAGCCAACAGAAGAGGACGGAAGCAGACAAAAGGAGAAACAAATATACACTGTACGCCAGATGACCTTCACGTGCCACTCCAAGGTGGGCCTACTCATACTACAATCCCCGCCTTCCTTTTTGCATGTTTAATCTATTACATTTATGAGGGGTGGGGGCATGTTTACGCTATGCCACACCATGCATGTGGAAGTCAGAGGACAACTTCCAGGAGTCAGTTTCTCAACCTTCCACCATGTGGGACTCTGGGAATCAAACTCAGATTTGGTGCCGAGCCATCTCACTGGCCCTGCATGCTTAATCTTTCTAATGCAGGTGTCACAAGCCTGTCACCAGCCTGTTCAGAGCCTGTTCCTTCTTTGAGCGGAGAAAGCGAAGAAACAAACCATGGTCAGGTTAAGGAGTGGGGTGACAGGAAACACCATAGAAAGATGAGAATCCTGCATGCAGGGGCCCCAGAGCTAGTAGCCAGCTTTGTGTAAGCATGCTTCAACTTGATGGTGAATCTTGTTTTGGGCAGGGGGCTGTATCATAGAAGGCTGCCAGTGTAAAGATATGGTGACATTCTTCTAGTAACTGCTGTGACATTTAGGATTAATTTCAGTTGTATGTGACAGGCAACTGAAAATAGCAGTAGCCGAAACACTATAGAAAACACAGGAGATGGGGCTGGAGACATTGCTCAGCTGAGCAGAGTGCTTGCCTACCACCTGGAAGCCAAAGGACATCTTCAGGTGCTGTTCCTTGGGCATTGTCCACCTTTCCTTTCCCTGAGACAGGGTTTCTCGCTGGCCGAACTTGTCAAGTTGGTTAGGCTGGCTGGCCAGCAAGGCTCAGGTATCTGTTTCTGTCTCCCTGGCGCTGGGATTACAAGCAAGTGCCACCCATGCCCAGCTTTTAATGTGGGCTCTGGGGTCCTCATGCTTAACTCAGCAAGCACTTTACAGACTGTGCCACCTCCCCCAGTGCCAATATTTTTTTAAATTTAATTATTTTTTGAGGGTTCCTGATAATGCTACATTCTGAGCATACAAAGGGTACAAAATGAAGTTTTTTCCAGACTATTTCAAAGGATGGTGCCAGTCTATCATTGTTTGCAGAGCACCTTCGCATACTGTTACTGTAGGTCCTTTTGTCTCTTAATTAAAGTAAGACACCAGATGTCTTGCCCAGTGCCAATATTTTTAATTGATCCTATGAGCTGATTCGCACTGGGGAGTGGGAAATTCTTGATTCTACCACTTGGGTGCCATGTTGTATATGGCTGTTTGCTGAGTTCAATCCCTGGAGATGGTGGGAAGATTCCAGATGACACTTGTGACATAATAACCATTGAAGGACAGCGCTTAGCTGGGACCCTGGACTGGAGCTGGGCTCATCTAGGGACAGAACACCCACAAATCAAAGCCCATCAGGAGAAACTCCAAACCAGGACTTTTCAAACCCTTTAGGGAAGGGCTTGAAGAAGAAGGTAATTCCCCTTGTCACAGGCTGGTACTTTGGTAAAATGGTTAAAATTAATTACCTGGAAAAATTGAAATTAAGCCGGCTGTGATGGTGCATGCCTGCAGTCCCAGCACTTGGGAGGCAGAGGCAGGCAGATCTCTGTGAGTTCAAGGCCAGCCTGATCTACATAGTGAGTTTCAGGACAGCTTGGGCTACAGGGAGATCCTGTCTCAAAAAGACCAAAAAAAAATTTTGAAATTAAATGACACAATAGCAATTCCAAATTTATCATATATTAGATTCAATGTACATAAAACCATGCCCTTAGCCTTCCCAGAAGGTGTCAAATGCTTGTGGTCAGTTACTGAACTTGCCTTGTGGAAGCCCCAAATCCCACAGGCAGCAGAAAAATACCATTTTAGGAAGCCTTGTCTGGAACCACTGGCACTTTCTACCTTCTAAAGAGAAAGTGTAGTTTTTGCTTTTGTTTTAAGGTAACCAGAGTGATGATTAATTAATTACATTGTATATTATGGGCAAGCCACCTCCAGTCTGTACCTCAAGCCCTCGGTTTGTTTTCCAAATAATTTTCAGTTTGCTCTCAGAGGTGCAAGGTTTGCAAACAATCTAATTTTGTGTTGGGTTCACAGAGGAGTGTGTTTCTTATCTGACAGATAACAGAACTAGATGAAGAATGGTACTTGATGCTGGTGCTGATGCTGGTGGTGGCTATGGTGGGGACGGTGAGGAGGCAGTAGGGGAGGGGCTCTCTTGCTGCAGCACACATTTGAGGAGGCTGACAGCAGGACAAGCCTGTGCCCATCTTGCTGGGCTTACCAATGCCCTAAGAAGTGGTAGTGGAAAACTCTAGAAGTCTAGACCAGGACGGTATGAGTCTCCTTCACCAAGCACAACCCTGGACATCCAGAGAGACACTGATGGGGGCACGAGCTTCTGAGGATGTAGGAAATTTCTGTCCAACTGTCACTGGGTACAGTGAGGACCTTACTTCAAGTCAGATGGCATCTTCCAGCATCTTCCAGGGACTCAGATGGGAATGAACCAAATAAGACTTCTCCCAGTAGCTCGAACACTCCATGAGCCCAGAACACAGATGAGGTGCAGTATCCTGAAACACTGTCCTGGGGAATGGCCCTGGAAATGGGGACCGGTACCTCACTGAAGGACAAATACAGCAAGTACTCTGTACCTTTGTTAACATGGCCTGTGGGAAAGCCTAGCTCTTCTAACTCAGGAAGAAACTAGTATTTCCACCCCCGCCTCTGTGTGGACTGCCCTTCTCTTAATACCCTATAATTCTTTAAAGCCATTATTAAAAGCTAGTTCATCCCTGGGGTCCCAGGCTTCATAAATTTGATCTCTAGATTGGTTTGGGGCTACATTTGGTTACAAATTATAGAAATCTGACTACAGTACTTCACCAGGTAAGCAATAATTTTCTACTTAAGTAATTAAAGTGTGTGGCTTTGAGGGCCAGCAGCTTTGCCATGTGACCAGCCTGTCAGGTGTCTTCCTGTTTTCTGTCTTTGGTCCTACCTGCACTCCATCCCCTGCATCCCAGGTCCACATCCCTAGGCCAGGAAGTTTTGTAGGGGAAACTACAGGAGAAAATAAAATATTTTAAAGTCCAGCAGACTTTTAGTCAAGTCCCGTTGACCAATACTGAAGAATGTGGCCACATCTGGGCAGCAAGGGAGCTTGGGAATTGTAGTTCTATAGGAATATTGCTGTCCTCTACAAAAGGGGGAAAAAAAAAAAAAAACTCCCTGTTAATGTAGCTTGGGAATTGTAGTTCTATAGGAATATTGCTGTCCTCTACAAAAGGGGAAAAAACAGGAGAGGGGAGAAAACAGGGAGGAGGTGGTCAATAGCAGCCACTCCAGGCAGCTTTTCCTGTTTCTCTTGAAAGGATGGGCTACCTCATCACTCTCCAACAGGGCACAGGCTACTAATGAGCTTGAGAGAGTGTGTGTGTGTGCATGTCATGCATGCCCAAGTGGAGGGCATCTAATCCCCTGAAGCCACTTGATATGGGCACTGGGAACTGAACCAAGGTCCTCTGGAAGAGCATCAAGTACTCTTAACCCCTGATCCATTTCTCCATCCCTGACACACCTGTTTTATGTGGGTACTGGGGATCAAACTCAGGTCCTCACATTTTCCTGGTGTTTGAATTGCTTTCTATTGCTATGATAAAAACACTGATCCAAACCAACTTAGGGAGGAAAGGGTTTATTTGACTTACAGCTCACAGTTCATCTTCAAGGGAAGCCAAGGAAGGAACTCAGGACAGGAACTTGGAGCACAGACCATGCTTACTGCCTTACTCCCCTGGCCCATGCTCAGCCTGCTTTCTTATACAATACAGGACCACCTGCCCAGGGGTGGCACTACAAAAATGGGCTGAGCTCTCCCACATCACTCAAAAATCAAGAAAACATCCCACAGACATGGCCACAGGTCAGTCCAACAGAGGAAATTCCCGAGTTGAGGGTTCCTCTACCCAGGTGTGTCAAGCTGACAACTAAAGCTATCCAGCAAGATCATCCCTCCAACCCCAACGATGAGCTCTTACTGTAATACCAGCAATTCTGGCAGAGTCTTAACACTTGGCCCTCCCTTCAAACCCAGCAGTCACCCTGGAGGTGAGCACCAGTTTCATTGTATGAATAAAGCAATAGCTGCTGGGACATGTCGTCAAAGCAATGGGTTCACTC